TCACATGTGGCTTGGGTGCACTAGCTTGCATGGCTTTACCAACCCCCGTCACAATTAAGGACATGTCAAGCAATCTGTCGTTTTAATGGAAGTGCATGGTTGGTCCCATATACAATTTGGGGTGATTATGCCGTTGGGACATATACAGAGTCCTAATGGTCTTCTTACTGTTCAGTTTGATCGCCGAGCTGCTCGACAATCGCTTAGTCCTTTTACAATTAAGGACCTTCACTTCTTGGCCCTTCAGCGAATTCTTGACCCGGACATCCAGGCGACGGTGTATATAGTTCCAAAAGCTATTGCGACACAATGTCTATATCTTCAGCGTGCAAAGTTCATGAGCGGTAAAGCGTATATATATATATACATACACACATTCACAATGTGGGCTGTGCATGAGCACTGAAAATTATACATGCGTGCGCGCTGTTTGTTGAAGACTTGCCAATACTTGTCAGAAAACATGTGCACTTTTGCTGGATTGAATCCCTTGCAGCCTCGCAATCAATGGGAACCTGATGGACCAGAAAGCGATGGAGAAGGAGAGTCAGGAGCGGCTAGTGATGGCTTGATCTATGACCAGAACGATTATGAGGTCGAGGAAACTGAGGACGCTTGGTTCGATCAGTTCATCAGCACCGGCTTGTCGGGATCGACTGATCAGTCTGATGTTGTGGTTGAAGAATCTGAGCCTGTTCTGCCAGACCACTCCAGCCAGACCACTCCTGTTCTGAAAGATGTTGAGATGGCAAAGCAGCCGCCGCGTCCAGTGGCACGTCCACTGGCTCCGTCGCTCAACAAGCAGGCCGAGGAGTCAGTGCTGATCGAAGACTCACCGGTGAAGATGGAATTGCAGGAGGTCGAGGATATTCCAGTCAGGGAGCCCACCAAAGAAGAACAAGCCCAAGCACTCCGAGAGCAAATCAAACATTTGGAGCAGCAAATGAAGGAAGCAGAGTCCCGGGCTTATTTGCTGAAATTAAGGATGTATATATAAGCAGTTCATTTTTACTTTGAAGAGGCATTTTCAAGAAAGCTGCCTGCTTTACTCCAAAGAATTCTCAAGTTGAAATGCTGCAAAACTAAAGCACTGCCTGTTACCCTTGCACTGCTTTTGTGTTGCGGGTTTTCAACACGAGTTCTGTCATTCTTTGGTATAGATGGATTGTATTAAACCGGTGTACCCATTGTGGTCCCATTGCGGTATGTTTGTCTTCTTGCCCTTCAAGCACCAAACATGGATGACACAGAAAACTAAATGGAATGTGCCAACACAGCCCTTGCGCATGAACCGATGTGAACTGACTGATATCACACTACACCTTGAAATGTGCCAAGGACTCTCCAAGCAAAAATCACCGCAGACATCCAGTCGATTCCTCCAGTCACAGGTGGGGCACTGATGGTGATGGAATCACTTCCCATGGGCGGAGACACTGACCCCACTATCCCAATGGATTTGACTGGTGGGATGACCGCAGCAGTGGCTGAGATCATTGAGAGGGGCGAGCGTGTGGCTACTCCTGCAGACCCGCCCCCAAAGGAGAAGGAGCAGGCCAGGGTGTGTTCTTTAACAGGTCACAACCTTTCTGGCAAAACACTGGCATCATGCACAGGGCACAATGCCACTCCTGTCTGTTTGTGTGTTCGCTCAATAAATTTATATATAGTCATGTTTGACCCCACCCAGCGACACGTAAAGTTGGTATATATATATGTATATATAGGTATATTTTGTATGTTTGTCATGGTCCTGCTGTTTTAGACTTCTCTTTACTTATACCCCAAGACCGATGTAAATTTAACTTTTCTGTCCCGACAGGTCTCTTTGTAAGTTCACTGGCTTAAATCATGAGAACCTATATACCTGCCTTTCTCAGCGCAGGTCCTCACTCGGCGGGAGCAGTTGGCACAGGTAGCTGAGCAGAAAGAAGCAGGTGCCAAAGGTCGTGGGCGGGGACGGGGACGTGGTCGTGGGAAGAACTCTTCCTCAATCCCTGCTGTGCCTGAGATGACTGATCGGGCAAAAGAGCCAGCTCCCGAAGTGGCACCAGAGTCTCCGGATCCCAAGCATCCACCGAAGAGGCCAGTCGCAAGCACTCCTGAGCGAAGGCAATTGTTTGTGGAGGGGAATGAGGAGAAAGAGAATCTCCAGTCTTCTCCACCAGTGAAGCAGCCCAAGAAGAGAGCGCGAGCAAAGGCAAAAGCTGCTGCTGCGCAGGCAAAAGCTGTTGCGCAATCTCAATCGCCTCCGGCGCAAGCGGAGCTGATTACTGGCGAGGGAAAGGCTGAGGAGGCACCAGCTAAGCCTGAGCGAGGGCCAGGAAAGGCTGCTGTGCAGAAGGCCATCGACCACTTGAATGAGGCAAGGCATGATGATGCGGAATGGCATCATGTCCTGAAGTTGTTTCAGTCCATGGATGGCAAGTGCGAATGCGAAAAGGATGTGCCAAAATATGGTCATTGGAGCCTGTCAATGTACTGGACCACGAAGCGGGTTGGCCTTCTTCATAAGAATGGAAAGGCCACCACGCATGTTGCATCCTTTGGTGGCGGCTGTTGCAAAAACATTTGCTTACCTCTCCTTGCTGCGCAAATGCTTGTCTGGCTCTTACTTGCTGATGGCACCGATGTTCTTGCAAGCACTCAATCGGTCTGTGTACAGGTGACCGCAACATATATATATGTCAAATGTGACCATGCGGTGTGCAGCAAAACACCTGAACATCATGAGCGCTGCGCTCGCAGGAACTCATTTGTATATATATATATAGGGTTTCCTGGGCCCCGCAGTTCAAACGAATTTAAACCGGTTGGAGTGAGCAGCCGGACCAATATAAAGTTCGTTGTTTTGTCACTCATCACCTGTCCATATAAAAACCTGCTGACTGCCGAGTTGGATTTCGCTGGTGGCGACAAACCATTGGAGAAGCTGAAGCCCTTGGACTCGGATGAGGTCATTGGTTATCAGAATGCACTAGCGGACCTGGTGAAGACCGTGAGCGTTGCACATTTTGTGGGGAAAACCCCAACAGATTTCCGTGCCTAATCAAAATGATTTGGCAATGTTGATGCGAGCTTCCGAGGGTGTGAAAGTCACCTTGCCTGTACTATTTTTATCTATAGACCCCTGGTTGGGAGAAATATGAAGGATCCCCAATAGCTTCTTCTGGAATTCTTATAGAACCATACTTGTGTTATATATATACTGGGTTTGTTTACCCAGCCCTCTGCTCGCTCATGCGCTTGAGGCTCATTTAGGGGACATGGTCAGTGATTTAAGCTACAGCGGGAGTATATATGTGCGCTGCCGTGCCTTTAGCAAAGCTAGCTCGGGGTGTGAACAGCTGCGTCGTCCACTCCAGGAAAACATACAAATGTTCAATGGTGCCTGGTGGATTCCCAGTCTCATATCCCTGTTTATTGTTAACCCTTCTGACAGAAATAGTTTGTGGATGACCTGCTGTTCAGTGTGGGAACCTCATACGGTTGCCTTGCTGGCTTTGAGGGGCATTGAGTGCCCATGTCTGAATCGATAACCTGCTGTTCAGCTGCTTCGAGAAAGGAGCATTTTGGCAGAGCTACACGTTTGCAACTTGTTTAGTTTTATGCTGCCCTTCATCTCCACTGATCCACCGTCCCTGGACGTGTCCTGCCTCGATCGTTTGTCTTTGTTCTTTCTGAGGCTGCGCCATGAAGCGGAAGGCCTGGGAGGTCAGACTGAGCAGCCGCATCGACCCTCATGAAAGTGGAGCCGGCATTCTTACATGTTTTGAATTCCTGGCGGCACCAAAACTGGGCAGTGTATATATGAACTGGGAATGTGATTGACTCATTGACCCCATGGCAAGCAAGTCTCAAAGCACGTATAAAGCTGAGCGGAAATTAAGAGACTTTTAAATCCCTAAACTTCAAAAAGTCTATTAATTCATTCATGTGCAAAAATGCCCCAGATTCTCACAACCAGTGAGCCATTTACGCTCATATTAAACGAAATGCAAGGTTAAAAACAAAACATATATATATATGTATACTTGTGCGGAGAGGGCGCGCAGTCTAGCCCGCTGTGCACGACTCGGCGTGTAGCATTTTTGGCTTGCAGTGATCCTCTTGGCTCTTTGAAGAGCTATGGCAAAAGGCCACCGTTTGACCCTACCTGACCTGGTGTGGAGGTTACACATGGTGAAGGCTCCCAAGGTACGCCTCAGTGGGATGAATGGTCTTCTTTCTTACTCAATCACACTCGTTCAACAGATTTCCTGCTTATGTGAACAGCTGATGTAGTCCGCAAATGGTTTGGACCAGCATTCCTTGATCCATGCCTTCAGGTGCTGACCTGCGCAATCCTGCTACTATTGTGGTCCGAGAATGTGGTGACTCTTGAGGAGGCCTTTCGCCGGTAGCCATCAAACCTGTGTTTCCTTGGATGTGATATGGGGAACCCAGCCTGCTATCTAACTCACTTTGGTAAACCTGTCTGAGTTATTCCAGTTAAAACTGCTGATCATGCACAACGGGGTTTAAGTAAATTCTACGAGGATTGAAATTTAAAGTCCAACCGAAAAGGTCAAGTTCAATGGGAAATAGTGCGAGGATGTGTGCCCATATGTTGAGCCCTCCAAGCATTCGCCCTTTGAGTGCTGGCAGTCCTTTGACTTCCTGGAGTTCTGGGCTGGAGAAGCGCTGACGTCAACGACGATGTCCTATTCTGGAAGGGATGTTGGTTCGCTAGACATTTTGTATTTCAAGGTGGACCCTGATCATCCTCACAGATCAAACCACTTCGACATATTAACACCATCTGGCTTCTTGTGCCATCGATGCAAAGAATTAACACACGCTTTCTCTCGTGTATATATATATATACTGGCGTTGCGTTTTCTTGCAAACTGAAGTATATATATGGCCTTAAATACATGCGAGTGGTCATGAAATGGTTCCAGCTGAGGCTAGCCCTCGCAGCAATCCTGAACGCTAAGAACGGTCAATTTGCAGCGTTGATGGCCATTGTTTGCAGCTCCTGGTGTACCATAAATATGGGAACAAGTGGACGACATGTAACCCATGCAGGTGGTAATGACCGAGAATATGTGATCCAAGCAAACTGCATGGCAAGTCGGTGCACTGTTTTTGCAAGAAAGACATGCTTTGATTTGAAAGGATATGTATGTGTGTGTTGCCCTTTGCCCTCCCAGTATAGTACTGACTTCCCCAAGTTCCCGCGCTTCCAGCGGCCCGAGGATGTGCCTGCTCGTCATGGCAGTGGAGGTGATGGGGGGCACGTGGGTGGTGGAGCAGCCAAGTAGTTCTCTACTTCGGTTCTATCCTCGAGTGATGGATACTTTCAGCATGTTCCGAGTGGCCTGGGCACAAAATATACATCTTTGGCCTCTTTTTATAACTACTGTTTTTGAATCCCATCAATGGGGGGATTTGCCACCCTTTGACCACCCACTGAACTGGGCAAATGGTGGGTGCACAGGATGGAAAGGTTTGTTCCCTCCAGAACTGTATGTTGCACGCCTTGTGTTGTACATATATGCACGGTTTGTTCAACAAATGCTTCTTAAAACAGGCTTCCAAGTTTGGCCCTGATCGACTTAGTAAACCCATTATTGTAAACCTGGACCTGCAGTTGAAAGAAATATGTGTATGGATATTTTATATATTATATGGACAAGGACAATCAAGCGCACTGTGCTATGAATCTTCCCAAGTTCAGCGCCGTCTCCACCAAAGCTGGCACTCCACAACAATAGTAGCTGGAACGTTCCTACATATATAAGGGGGTTCTGTTTTGTTTTGCTTTTGATTTTCATGTAGCACCCATCTGAGACCTGGGCAACTCGGTGGTGGATGGGACACTACCACAGTAAAACTCCGAAGCGTCACATTGCCTGGAGCAACTCTAAAGAGATTGGCTTGCTGAACATGGGGAAGCTTCGTGGCTGGCAGTACCATTCAGAAGAGTATCAAAAGCACAAGACTGCCACCACCACGGTCTCCAAAAACGGAAAGAAGTCCTTTCAGGGAAGGAAGAAGCAACTGAAGGCATCTCAGTTCCTTGGTTGATGGAAAGAACACATGCAACGACCTCCAAAAACAGGGGAGAACAGAAAAACAATTTATATAGGCACCATGGGCTCCTTGATTTCAACAACCTTTCGTTCTCCCGTGCTTGTTTTGTTTTGGAACAGTTTTGTGCTGCAGACTGCTTGAACTGTTCCAAGGTTTCAACACAGATCGAGACTGCTACAAGCAAACACGTTTTGTTCATGGACATACAAGTCTTCTCAGGTCACCTAACACTGGTGCTGCCTGCAACTATAAATATATAGAATATTTATATACGCATTTACAAGCCATCCCTGCAAGCTGTAGAGGCACACCCTCCATTGCCAGTGTCAGGGTCGTTTTGCAGCTTTGGTGCACGTGGTGGCTGTTTATGCGCAGTCTCGATCAAAAGCAGGATCTTGCATGAGGCTCTATATATACAGATATATATATATATGTGGTCATGTGGTGTGTATATCTAAACTAAACGTCTCTCTCTCTCTCTCTATAATTGGGTGAGAATTGCGAAAGTTGCTGGCCTTTTGTTCCGTCATTTGCAAAATGCACTGTCAGGACATACCCCTACCGCTTTGGCCTGCGGATGGTCCGAATCCTTCCACGGCTTTTGGCCACAGGGTGCAAAGATGTTGGGGAACCTCCTGCTGACTTTGATGCGCTAACATGCTTCAGGCTTCAGGAATACGATGACCTTTGGGAAGACGCTTGTATGCTTGATGTGCTAAAGTACATCTACGGAAACAGGAGTCTGAAGATTCCTGTGGAATGGAGAGGGCATTTGCTCCCTTCACAGCCTTGAACACCTGGGCGCCCCTTTAATTCGAATCTGTGCCTCCGGAGCTTTTTTCGAGCTTCTCGAAGCTTGCGCAAAGCCTGGCAAGACGCAGTTCAATCCATTTTGGTTCATTTTGGGTCGGGGTCTCAAAAACCAGGTTTTGGGCCGTAGAAAACCCGTAAAAAAATCCGTAGCCGTAGAAAACCCATAAAAACCCCGTAGAAAACCCATAAAAATCCGTAGAAAATTACGTAGTTTACCCGTAGGGCAGGGCATCCTCCAATTTTGCATTTTTAGATGTTTTTGGAAGGATCTTACAAGTTTTGGTGTTCATGTATATGGTCTGCCCTAACCTGGTGACCCAAATTAAGAAACCTGACCTATCGAAGTAATTGTATATACATATGGAAAATCCGATGGCGCACATGAGGGCAAAGCATTCTTGTTGCCAGAGTTGTACTGCATTAGATGCAGCACGAGTCATGCTTGCAGGTGTCAGGTTGGTTCAGGTTGGTATTTATGTAGAGCTAAGTTTGTTGTTCAAGAGCTCTTTCAAGCGCGTTTGTCTCTCCGTCGCGTGCGATGTCCAGTGGGTGGGGCGCGAAAGTGAGAAGCTGTGGCTCTTTGGCAGAGGGCACCCATGCACTCCTGCAGTGTAAGGAGGAAGCTGCAAACCGCAGGGCCCTGATCGAAGAACAAAAGCAGGTGGGATTGGTTTGAACAGGTCATTGTCAAAACAGGACAAGCAACATTTGATAATCCATCTTTGCAAACAAATTGACAAGGCGTTGGAGGAGGAGCTCAAAGCTTTGACCCTTTCGGAGGGCATGGCCACTCGCATGAGTTTTTTTGCCAGCACAGGTCTAAAGGCTTCATATAGGTTGATGTGCAAACGTCCTTTTTCTCTTGGTAACCTTGGTAGTCATGGTGTTTGTTTTTGTAAGGTTCTTCGGAATGAGATGTTCATGGCCCAAAATGCACTGGCCATTCGCTTTCAGGTTGTTGATTGTCGGGGAAACCAATCACACGACTCTGCCTTGAATGACACTCTGCCAGCCTCTTGACACACTGCGAGCGCAAGCCCCGACGATCGGTCTTCCCATGTATCGGCACCATGAGTTGCATAGGATATGGGACACTGGCACTATTTGTGAACTGAAGGAACTGAAGGTATATAACTATATTGCTATCTTGTTCGCTTTATTGCCCAGGCTACCGAAGCTGAATTGGAGAGTATGAAGCGGTCTGCGCCGCCTTCCACGAAGACAACTCCGGTCAAAGCCCTGCAGCAGCCGAAGAAGCGCCGGGAGGTTGGGCGGTGACAACCCTTTGGTTTTGCATCACACAATGACACTATCCATGTGTCCATGCGTGGACGACAAAAGAACCCTCCAGCCCACCACCCATGCAGAGGTTTTTCCAGAATTTCAACAACATTAAAAGAACTATAGATATTCGATCTGAGGTGCCACCGTGGTGTTTTACACAATTGGTGTCACAATTGGTGTCAAAACAAATGACCGGATGCTTTTGGTTCACTTGAGAGATCCCCGTGCAGGAGTCTGAGGCTTCAAAGAAGACATCAGTGAAAAGCATGGCCAAGCCACCTTCGAAGCCGACTGAACCTTTAACGCACAATGATGTCCCTTCTGGTGCATTGCCTCCACCATGACCTCTAACACAAACAGAAGCCTTTCACTAGGCATATATATATAGATATTTATTTATATTTGTTTTTATGCAGACCCCAGTTGGACAGAACCTTTTGAAGTGTGCACCAAGGTGTGATCTTTTGGGCTAAGGGGGTCGCGTGCGCACTTAGGGAGACGACCCGGTGATGAACCTTCAGGCTAAGCTTGATGCAGCCCTCCGCAAGATCGAAGCTCTCGAGTCCAGTGCTTCCACTGGCACGCCCGCATCATCGCGCCCCTCTACGTCGACGCCGCCAACAAGCAGCAGCAAGGCCTCTCCATCTCCGGAAGGTGGAGTGGCTGCTGCCTGCATGCAACATGATTGCTCCACACCCAAGTCGACAACCTTCAGTTTGTATGTTTGGTGAATGACTTTGTATATGAAACATAGCTTAAAACATGCCTGCCCCCATAACGGACAGTAAGGCTGGCGAGATCTCTGAGGAAGATGCCCACAAAAGGTTCAAGCGCATAGACGCCAAACTCAGACGGCTGTGTGAACAAAAGCCCAGTGGGAAGTTGAATGTTCCTCGTGCCCTACACGAGATGTGGCTCAAGGGCGGACAGGAGCGCGACGAGTTAAGGGCGGCTTTTGAACGATTCGAGGAGGACAAGGAGCCCTTGGATTTGGAGAGTGTTTGCTCACAGTGCCCATGCATGCAAGCACCCAAAACAAATGTTTCAGGGATTCAAGAACCTTTGTATGAAGTCCTTTTGTCGATCAAACAGGCAGGGTGCACATGTATACATATATATATATATATGTATATATGTACAAACCGCGCGCGTTAACACAAACAGTGGTGGTTGTTCTCCAAACCCTTGGAATATAGAAGGAGAAGTTCGTTGGTGAAGCCATCAAGATCATCGAGAAGAGGAAAGAGAATACCCATGAGGTTTTGGCTGGTTGGTTCACCCCAGAGCAAATGAAAACGGAGCTGAAATGGACTGGGTACCTCTCCTCAATTTCTGCGCTGTTTGAAGAAGGGCGACCGCGTGCATGGGTCCTAAAACTATAGAAATGTGTTCAATTATTTTGGGTGGCTGATCCCAGGTCATACATCAAGGATGTCATTGCATACTGCAAAAAGCACGGCTTGGTGAAGAAGCCTGGTGGCATTGTTTTTACTTGGCATGTGGAATTCCTCAACACCAATATGCTGCAACAAATGTTTTTTGCTCTGCTGTATTGCCTCGAATCCAATGACTCTAGGACTGACAAGTACAGCAGCAAGGTCTACAAGTACTATGTTGACTACTCCGAGAAGGATTCTGTCAAGAAGACCCACACTGAGATTGAGCAAAGCAAGTCTACTTCCAAGGAGGCCTGTCCTCTGCAGAGCGCAGTCCGCTGTCCTGTCCTAACACTGCTTCTATCACATTGGCTCTTTTGCTTCAGGGTTCCGAGTCTTGACAGGACAAGGATGTGGACCTGTCTGGTGATTGGCTGGAAGCGGCTCCGGCTCCAGAGGAGAAAGTCGAGGAGAAGCGGCGCGAAGCACAAACGCCAGAGGAAGGGGATCTTAGGCATAAATATATCTAACTGCGTCAGGCGGTCAAGGTTACCAAGAGAGGTGAAAAGGATTCCAAAAGCGTTGTTTCGTTTGTCTCGTGACCTCTCAATTGTATGTTCTCTGTCGGATCCCAGTTGTCTTTACTTAGGAACGGGAGTTGCAAAAGAAGTTCTCCGATGGCATGATTTCCAAGATGAGCAAGATTGCGGATCTGATTTCCAAGTTGGAGAATTTTGAGGGTCTCTCCCATGGTGACTCTGAACGGGTCAAGAAGCCGAACGCTTAAACATATGCACGGCTGTGCGACAACAACGATAAACTCAAGTTTTCAATCCTGAAGCTATCTAAATTTGAAGGCAATCCAGTGTATATAATGACATGTTGTGTGCATATAACGCTCCCCAAAGCAAACTCCTCTATACAACTTCTGCTCAGGTCGGTGAAGGGCTTGGACGACAAGCTAGCTGCGGCGCAATTGGCCTATGATGAGTTCGAGGCGTTGCGCGTGGCTAATTGTCCAGAGACCCTTGGAAACACGAGAACCCCACAGACACGTGTGAACACTACTGATGAACCTTTTGATGCTGTGGATGAAACCAAAAACTGGGCATCACCACCTGCAGCTTTGACCCCATATGACACGGGCTGCCTGGCCTCTTCTCCGGCCATGAGGAATGCTGCTGACCTCAAGGCCAAGATGAAGACTGCGATGGAAAAGACCCTTTGCTCACATTTGTACGTGCCAACGGAAACTCCGGTCAAGTTCGCACCCACTGTTTTCATGAACCTTCACCTATACAAATAATATGCCAAAAGGTGTGTTACATGCATCAACCGAGCTCTGAATGTATCTTCCATCAGTGATCAGTCAAAGATGGGTCTTCCATAAACTCCCATGGCCCTGATTCAGCGCCCTATCTCAGGGCATCCGCGCTGGCATCTGGAGAAGCTGCTGGGAAGCGTCCAACCTGCACATAAATACAAGGTTAACTGTGAGTGGTGCAGTAATGCATTTGCAATATTTATTTCTGGGATCAAGTCAAGGTCCTTGGAGAAAGGACTAAAGAAGAAGTTCAAAGATGCAGCTGAGAAAGAGGGATCGTGAGACTCATGAGATTGATCTGTAGTCTCGGATTTTGAAGCCCTTGTGTTACAGCAACACTTGGTGCACACCATGCGCATTATTGCGGAGTCACTCTTGCAGGGTGGTCATGGCAAGTTGAGGAAAACGATCTCATTTGAGCTGTGTGACCCAATCGAGATGGGGTTCAATACATGTCTTCTTTTCGCTTTTGTTGTGGGGCTGTCTGGTGTACAACTCAATATGATTTGGACAGAGATGGTGAGCACTTCTTGGCCTTTGTCTTCTAATTCACTTCCCGCACAAATGACCCATCCACCGTGCAGCTGTCCCCAGCCCCTTCTGGCCTTACTGGTGTCCCATGCCATTTGCGGGCCAGGTCAAGAACCTGAGTTGCGTGGGTTTGCCCGAATGGTCGGGCGTGGCGCCTGATCCTCAGGCCTTATAAAAAATAGAGAGACCCATATACATATAGGAGGTTAGGGGCAACCACGGGTGGAAAGCCAAACATGTTTTTAGCTATATATGTATGTGCTGAATCTGTACTCTCAATTGTGGGTGGCATGCTGCAGCCAATTTTTGGGGGTCAAGCAACCGGCAAATGTTTGATCAAACTGGGTCCGGTTGTGTCTCTCATGGCAGCTGGTTCCACGGGTTTCTGCGTTTATGAAGAAGAACTTCGAGACTTGTTGACTTATGACTGCCCTGTCACCGGAAGAAAGCGGTGTCCTCCTTATAGTGATGAATGGATGGGGATCAACAAAACCCGCAAGACTCTCAGATGCACAAAGCAGTGCTTGCCAAACATAAGCTTTAAAACAGTTCGCTGCCATGCGTGCATTTTTTTAGTGGAGACTTTGGATGTGTTATTTGTCTCTATAGGTGTGCCTCTCACCAAGATGAAGCTGTTGTCCATGCTCCATGTCTCGATCACAAGAACCTTTTTGCACATATGGGGCACCTGTTTTACTTGTGACCTGTTGTTCATTGGAACCGGTTTTACTTGAGGTATCAATACCGATGCAAAAATATGTACGTCAGGTGAATGGGGGCCAAACTGCAATGAGACAACCCTTGCGTGAGCTGAGCCTTCAAGTTCACCAACCATGCCTGAAGCCAACTGCTGATTTGAACCTGCTAGAACAGGTCTGCCACGACTATGGCATCAGTGTGTCGTACCCGGATTCCTCGAAGCGGCTCAAAGCCACGGCGGGTACAATTTTACAAAGTTGCGCTAGTCGTGTCTCCCAATTCCGAAACAAGATGAACCGGGACCTTTGTGTGTACAAGTTGGGTATCACAGCGTATCCCCCTGTCAGGTTTCTTTTCTACAAGGAGGCCAACTATACTCACATGACTTTGCTCCATGTTACAGAGAATCTGGGGGTAGCGCAAATGCTCGAGGCATCCCTGATATCATCCAATTTGGGTCAACTGGGGTGTCGCAATGAGCGGCTGGGGGGTGAAGGCCCTCCAAATTCAGAAAATGAAAGGTACCACTTTGTTTACATCGTGGGTGCCCGTGCAGATTGCATGAAGCCAATTGGATGAGGACTTATATAGAGCTGCCTCTCTGTAATTCGAAAACTATATTCCTTGGAGATCCCCAAGTGCGTCTGTATCCAAAAAAGATACTGTATCGGATCGTGATCAGCTGGAGAGTATGCATGTGCAAACCCTATATATGACACCATTAATTCACAATGGTGTTCTTGTTTGATTGTTTCGCGCGCTGAACTTTTTGTGGGTTTCTGCCACATCTATATATATATATATAGAGGAATAACCATTATACTGGATATATATCTATATATATATATAGACATATGTTTCTCTGTGCTTGTCTACCTTTAGAAAACTTAAGCCGGTATATCTATACATCCATCGATCGTACTCGTTCCGAGGTCTCATGCCGAGACGCCATCCGCCAGGCGAGGGTGACCCGAGTGAAGTCGAAGGGTCTTCAAGCGCTTCGAGATGTGAATCTAAAGCATAGTGAGAATGGCGCGCACCGAGTCTTTCGGACATTTGGACAATCCCTGCCGGTGAAGATAAGCAAGACAGATGTGGAGAGCATGAAGGACTTTCCATATGTGAGATTTTCCTCCTGGATGAAATACTTAATCGAGGAGGACTACATGGAGCATTTGGTGGGCGTTTCAGATTTGGCAGAAATGAAGAAGACCCTCACACTGTTTTGGAAGCGCTACCAAATGTCAAACCCAAACCACAGAATGTTCCACAGCGACACTGGAGCAGCCTGCCATCCCGAGGTCACGATCCCGATTCTCCACCACGGGGACGAGGGGCGATCCCACAAGAAGAAGCAAATCATGATACTGAGCTTGGTAGGCATTCTAGGCCGCGGAACTTCCCGATGCAACCGCTCCACTGATGAAGGGTCGGCAATGGACGAGTCATCACCGTTGCATCTGAGTATGCTGGGGGACAGTCTGCAGAACCACTTTTTGTTTGCGGCTCTTCCCATCAAGCTGTACAACCAAACTGATTCCTTATACCAGGTCCTTTCATTGATGGGCGATGAGATGGACGCGCTGTTCAACCAAGGGGTTCTCATTGGTCAGCAAAGATACTTTGTAGCGATGCTGGGAGTCAAAGGTGATTCCCCGTATTTGGCGAAGTCGGGTCGGTTTGAGCGTACGTTTTGTCGAAGACCCACAAAGCATGTCAGCCAAAGTCTGTGCATCGGAATATGCCACCGCTGCCTAGCTGGAAGAGAAGGCTGGGTAGTGGACCTACCGTATGAGGAATTTGGCGCAGAGTTTCCTACTTGGTCAATCACAGAGGCTCTAGAGAAGCCATATGTAGTTCCTTCACCACTCCTTCGGGTCCCTTTCCTGAAAGAGGATGCTGACGACGGCGATTTGTCATTCTGGCAGTTCGACCTGTTTCATAACATACATCTTGGAATGGGAAAGAATTTCATTTCCAGTGCTGTATGTATATGCATTGAACTCTTGGACGGTAGCTTGGAGCGTGCCTTCCAAAGCTTGACATTGGATTTCCAGCAGTACTGTCGCAGCAACCACGAAAGCCCATACCACAAAAAGCTTTCTCCATCCCTCTTTGGTGTGGACAGCGGGTTCAACCAGACTCCAGAAGCAGGGTGGAGCAAGGGAGACTTCACAAGGTTGGTCCTGAAGTGGTTTGAAGACTATGCCAAGAGGGAGGTCCTCGGCAAAACTCAAGATCCCATTTGTCTTGCTTGCGTTGCTCTCTTTAATGTTGAAGCATTTTGTTGTGTTTTTACATTCCTGTTCATCCAGTCCAGGAGTTGTAAATGCACAATCGCCTGAAAATCTGACTCGGTCCCTGAATGCGCGTGCCAAGGTTGAAGCGACACAGGCCATCAATGAGTGCCTCTCAGGGCTTTACAGCGAGGGATTGTTTCTGAAGGCTGAGCGAGCTGAATTTTTAGCCCGGCGGGGCTTGAAATTTTTAGAGAAGTATTCCCAGTTGGCATTGATGTGCTTCAGGGTTGGTAAGCGGCGATTCCCTTTGATCCCTAAGGGACATTACTGCCATCATCAATTCCTTGACCTTCTTCGGGAGTCAAGGAAAGGCCAGTGGTGTCTTAACACCTTGGCGTACTCAAACCAAATGGCTGAGGACTTCGTGGGGAAGTCCTCACGAGTTTCAAGGCGAGTTTCACCACGGACTACCTCGCTCCGAGTAATTCAGAGACTTTTCCTTTTGATGAGGGATGCAAATTCATCACTTTATGCAGGTGGCAAGGTTGAGATTTAAGGCTGATGCGCTTGACGCTCTGGGTTGTCACTTCCCTTTCACTCATATATATATACACTCAAACAATCTCAAATACATATGGATATATCATTGTTGTTTATACAAATGGTCGAGATGAGTAGCTGCTGATCACGATGTTGCATATGCATATTTATATGTATATGCATGTTTTATTGTTATTGCAGTGGTAATATGTTCAGGTATGAATTAGCGGTGTTGTAATACCAATTGAAAGATAGCCCAGGATGTCTCAGGCCGAGGCTCTTCTCTGTGCATCTTCAGCTTGCGGGTCACCGCGTTGAGCCGACGGAGAGTGTGGCAGGGAAAGGGAGAACTGGGTGGGAGGAGTGAGGTGCTTGGTGTGTAAGGGACCTTTATAACCCCAATGCTGACTGGACCTTGCAAACAGTCATGATTGAAAACCGGGTTTCTATGCATCACCATTCCACGACCCAAAAAAACATGGTTGCAACATAAAACCTTTCTTTTTCATGGTTTCCTGTGCTCATGGTAGCCCGGAACAAGGGAGCCTTGACAACGACTTCTACCTGTGTTGTTTTTGTGACGTATACAACTCGGGATCAAGTCGAGAAAGCTGTGCAGCAATTCAATGGGGTGACTTGGCAAGGCATGAGCAATGGAGCGCTCATTGCAGCACCTGCCAAACCAAGGGGTCCAGGAGTTGTCTACCCTGTTGATCAGGCTGCTGCACCTGCAAAGCTTGGTGGCCAGGACTTAGCTGGAGGGTTCACCGCATACTTATTTTCACTGAAGCTGCCTCACTTCTCACTGGCGCGTGGGCCGTGCACTCTTTGCAGGCGCGAAAATAGTGGTGACCTGACCTGGACCAACTTTCAGCGAAACGCGCCGTGGGTGGACACAATCTGGCGCAAGGCAGACTGGCATTTGTGGCCAGAGCGCTCCCAGAACCCTTTGTTTCAACTTCCAGGACAAAGTTGCCATTTGGTGTCTTTGGACATGTTTGGGAGCGTGCCGCAAATCTTGTGTCAGTTTGTTTTACCAGGGGCTGATGCTGACAATGTGCGCACATGCTGGACATTCCTCAAGAGCTACTACAAGCAGCGCAAGATTCCCCCTCCCTACCGCTACCTCAACAAGATTACTATGTTTTTGCGTCAAGGCAAATTCCCAAAGCTGCGTGGTAAGGCAGCCGAGGTCCGGCATTTGAGTGAGCCCATCTCTGCCCTTTGGAAGCACTACGTGAACCAGGGAAGCGAAGTTCACCGGCAAATAGATTTGATGCTGCGCCTGAATGCCTCTATAGAGCGAACACTGACTGAGCACAGTAGGTCCTACTGTTTGCCCCCATTGGTTTATAACAAGTTTGTGAATGACACCTACCACTTGCTCGAAGTAAGCGCAGCACTTTGGACATGGTGGTGATCTTCGGCGTGCTTTGATATCGGCAGGGGCAGCGCTTTGTGAGCCTGGAAGTGCAGAGTTGCGGGCAGCGGCAAGCGCAGCGTTTTGTGAAACTAGAGGCGGAGATTTCGTGGCAGCAGGGGCGGGCGGCGCTTTGTGAACCTTGAAGTGCCGATTTCGTGGCAGGCGTAGCGTACCTGGGAGTGGTGAACTCTTGGCACGCGCAGCAAATGCGCTTTCATATACATGCCCTTATGTGCCCTCATTCACCAAAATAGCAAACAACAAGCATCCAGGTCTCTTTGGGGGAGCATTGTTTTGTGAGTGATTGCTTACAAAAGAGTGTGTATGCCAGGAGCATGTTGTAAACGGATGAGGGCTAGACCTTTGTTGGATCAACCCAGCTCTATCCCAGTTCAGTTTCAGGTTTGATATATTCCAATTTGAACCTGTTCCTTGTATTAAAACAACCAACCATGCTGAAGAGTTTTGACAAACATATGCCATAAATAGTGTTGCGATGGTTTGTGTGAGCGTTTTAGTGATCTCATGCCACCATTCTATACAAGTTTTCTTTTTACATTGGAAAACTGCAGCCCGTTTCGGCTAGGCAGATTTCTAACTATTAGGTTATCTTCTGTTTTCTGACTATTGCTTAGAGAATTCCTGGGGGGGCTAAAACATGTAACTTACAATTTTCGATTGGCCTTATAGATGTATGATGACACCCCTCGTTTTCGGCACATAATTATTAGTTAGAGGCATTATTCATGGTCCCATTCACCCCCTTGGATTTTTGCGCTGTGTTGCTTGCGTGCTCCTGAGAACGCACCAGGAAATGAGGACGTAGCTGGGGCATGTCAGCATGCAATTTTAGGTTGGGTTGAAGAAAATGGTAACTTACCACGTTCCGCCTCCTAAGTTACATGTTCTTCAAGCACCCCTAAGCAAGATAAGTAAGAATATGTAAGAAACATGTTGTAAAACAAGGGTGCGAAAGGTACACGCTATTGTATTTCTATGGTTTCCAAAGCAACTTATGTTATTTTTGGGATGCGGGGAGCTGTAGGCCGGGCATTGGAAAAAAGGGGTAGGTTCTTCCTAGCTTACAGCAGTTTGCTTGCATTATACAGATTGCCGCGAAGAGCCTGTTGACGACGATTGAGACCGCCTTGACAATGAGCGGTTCCTTCACCTCGTCATCGTCCAAAATGCCAAGGTAGGCCGCGAGCACCTCTCTGTGAGTGGCTGTGTACAGCACTCCCAGGGCCCCAGTCACCACTGTGAAGGCCACAGTCACCACAAATGTCACTGTGCCCTGCGCTGCCTGCCATGAGCTGCACGGTGGCACAGCCCTTGCTGCAGCCTGGAGCTTCTTGCCGTCCACCCCGCACTCATTAGCGATGCTCTGGGTCACCAGGGTCTCAAGATCACTTTTGAGAAACCACCGGTGCCCTGATGGCAGTAACCCGCAGAGAGCTCCGCCATGTCAGCGAGTTGCGCTGCGTTGCCGCAACCAAGCGCACCTGCTGGCGACATGGAATTCACCCACGATGGCGCCGCCAACGGCAAAGGTGGCCTGTGCACCAGCTCCCCACCAACCGCGTGGCACATCTCGGTGCCAGCCACGACGAACGGGATCACCGCGCACAGGAACCTCAACGCCCTTGTGGCTGCCGGCGTCACGTGCCGGGTTGCCATGGTGTGGACCACCACCATAGTCACTCCGGCCAGCATGGCCCCGGCCGACCAAATGGTCAAGGGGAAGACCCCGGCCTTCGCTCCACCTCCGGCCACCCAAGAGGCCAAGACCAAGAAGAGCACATCGCCCGATGCCACCCCGGTGGCAGCCCCGAGCCATGAGCCGAAGCTCTGGGCCTGGCGAGCCGCCTGGCCCACCAGTTTCTGCGAGCCTGCAGAGTCGATATGCACTTCGAAGATCTGAGGCACGCGCACACTGCATAATGAGCACCACCGATCAACACTAGCCCCTATAACCGTAAGAACCCCTAGTGGCCCTAGTGTGGTCACGGTGTTTGGGGAATGAAAACGACATCATCTCACCGGCACTCCAAACTGTGAGAAGGTCCATCCACTCACCGCATGGTGCTTCTCTCATTTTGCTCCCTCCCAGCTGTGCTCCATCCATTCATTCCGCTGCTCCACTGTGGTACACTCCCGGAGTCGATCCCCGCCCAGGGCACTAAATGGCACACGGCCCGAGCCAGGATCGCCTTCCCCGCAGCGCCGAAGCTACAGTCCTGGCGCGCGCCCAAAAGGTCCAGGGGAGCGAGGCTCCGTGCAGGTACACCATCGAAAGTTGCACACCTACACCTTGTGCAAGTCTACCATCCCTTAGATTTCATTTGTGTTCAGCTTCGCAATCCCCAACCATCCATGCAGATTTGCTCAGATATTTACCTATACTAATTGACCCTTCAAGTGGTCAAAACTCAACCACTCCCAATTGGTTCCGAATTCTTCCCGTGGATATGTGGAGAGCATGAGTGCAGCCGGTGGACAGTTCACGCAGCCGGTGCGTCTGTATTCGTTTTCGCAGCTGCTTCCTCCACTTGAAAAGACTTCCACTATCTTCAATGAGACTTCACTGAAACCTGATGTAGTACATCCTGAGTCCAACAATAGGTTGTTTACTCAAAGCCATTGGCTATTGGGAATCGACGGGTGGTGGTTGTTTTCTTCTCTGCTGGATTCCGGGTCGCCCATCACCGACCTCCCGAGGCAACGACTACCAGCGGGCCTCAAACCCATGGAGAAATACCTGATTTCACCTACAAACACCCTGATTGTTGCTAGGGAAAGCCATGTTTTTGATGGTTGCTGGTGCCCCTGGTAGCAAGGGGTTGGGGAACTTCCTATAGCTCCGAACGGCTCCCTGATTCATGGCTGAAGAACTGGATACCACTCTGGCGACCCTATTGCCGTCGCTCCCTCAACGGTTGGCAACAGCTACAAGTACATACCCTACGCACCCAAACCCTATAAATGTGTAGGGTCTCAATCAGAACCTTGGGAACTTTTGTGAAATCAAAACTACCGTTCTTCAAACCTCAAGTCTTGTTTTTCTAACCCGTGCTACACCCATATTTAGCCCGCGTACTAAAATGTACTAAACCAAAACCCGTACATACCCGTGCTAAACCCGTATTTTTGTACTGGTTTGGAAAACCTGGGGTTTCCTCAAGAAACCTACAAGTTTATAGGGTTTGGGTGCGTAGGGTAGATGAAGACTTGATGATTGACCGGTGCTTGTGTTTTGGTTCCAAGGCAAAAGAGGAGTACCTCTCTGAATGCTTCATCTGAACCCTACATCTTTGTCTGCAACCATCAAGCACCTGGGTCCTCACGTCACCTTCACACACCAACATTGTCTTTTGAAGTCTTCGCATGCAACCACTTCCGGCTCCACGAACAGAGGTTGAAGATTCCAAACGTTCGACTATCGTACAGGTACCCCAGCTTCCTTGTCTTTTCAGGTAAAAAACACACACACACACCAAAAAAAAGAAAGAAGACTCTCTTGGCACCACTTTCCCACTTCTCCGGCACCTTCGGATACTTCTCGAGGTACGCCCGGAAGTTGGGATCACGCTCAA